TTGGTAACTGTAATAATAGAATAGACGTGCAAAGCTGATATAAACTGTATTTTTTATCATTTGTGTATTTTTTGTAAAATTTTAAGAATAAACAAGCAAATGTTAATGATAGTAAAAACAGCTTTTTAAGTTAAAAACCTTGATTTTTATCGTCATTGATATATAAAATTCGTATTGATGTTTAAATTGTCATCGAACACAATTTGCTTAAACACAAATAATATTAAACAATAAAAGGCTATTGAAGCTTAAAATTAATATATTTCTTTGAGATATTATGATAAATGATATTATCAACTGTTAAAATTATCAAGTGTAATATACATTTTTAACTCCTGATTTTTTTTAGTTGAACCCTAATCAAAATAACATAACCAATGATTTAATAAAACAAAATCCAATAAAACCTTATCGAAATGGAGTTGCCTTAGAACAAAACTTGAAGACATCTGGCGAAAAAAGTACTGAACATTGATTCAATCATAATTTACCAAAAAAGCATAGCCATTAAATAACTTTGTAGAAATTGTCATTAAACACGAAAAAGAATTAATTTGACGTGTTTATTTGTTTGAGCAGGTTTTAACAATTAAAGAATTTGTAAATGTTATAGAATATCAACACAATATAAAGCGGATATTTTTGATGTTTTACGTCGCACCATCAAAGATAACAAAAGTTATAATGGTAATGATATAAGTATTATGTGAAAACAATCACAATTGAAAATAGAAGTGCTCATCATTTCTAATTCGATTTGTGTAAAACAAAAAAAGAAAACAAATTGAACTTGGAAACAATAGCCAATTATTTAAAACATTGTTGGAAAAACCATACGCCAACTAATTATACTGGGCCACTTCCAAAAAAAACATTTTTACAAACAAATATATCTCCCATATGAAGCTGAACATGCCCAACTCAATCCAGAATTGATAAGAGAATATGAAGAACGCACCCACCAACTTTTAAATCATATTGTTAAGTACACATGTTCCAGAATTATTCGCTTAGATGTTGTTTTACCAAATATTGTTGCTCGATATAAATCGAAGTAGTTTCATTCCCTTTACTAATGAGAAGGGGCACACAGTATCATTGACCCAAATGCTCCATTTACCAAGTATAACAAGGTTGATAAAAGTATTAATAAACTCACCCTTCTTTTTGGAATATTTGCAGATTTAACAACATTGGAGACCCCTTTTCGTTGTTTCCAGTTTAATAATTGAAAATGAGTTATGTGAGTACATCAAAATGGACAACGTTTTGATTGTTTACCAAGAAAATGGGTTCATTAATACCCGTATTTATAATTTGTGGCAAGGGTATTGTCTCGTCCCGAGCTTGATATTAAGAGGAAGAACTGTCATTGTGGCTGGGCAGTTGTTGTACAATATTATTTTGCACATCTTCATGATGAGTACCACCAATAATTATCTTGAAAATATATGGGATTAGCTTTACTTTTTTCCTCATAGAAGTCATTTGAACCAACTAATTGATTTTGTCGTGTTTGGTTCTCGAAATATTTGCTTTGTTTGTATTTTTTAGTTATGTTATTATTATATCATTAAATGGTTAGTTGTTTATAATAATTAT